CTCTTGTGTGTGTGTGTGTGTGTGTGTGTGTGTGTGTGTGCACGTGTCTCTCTCTGGTTAGATTAAAATGAATGAATCAATAAAATTAAATAAAATACTTTTAAAAAGAATGATTTATTTACGTTTATGTATTGTTATTATTATTTTTAATTTACTATAGGGCAAGTGCATTCACCAGAGAAAGATGGAGAGGGAAACTAAGAAAGCAAGCCCCTGCCAGGTCCAGGACTCAAACTGCAGTCAGCCATGTGGGAGGACATCGCCTTAACCACCACGCTACCTGCTGGTCCCAGAACCTCCTAAATCCGCACTGAGAGATTATGCATGACGTCCTCCCCACGCTTGGAGAAGACCTCGATGTTCTAGGGCAAGGCTCAATCCAGCCCTGTGCACCTGGCACTTGAACCCCCAAGTTCATGCTTTTATCTGCTCTGCCTGGCCTTGGGAGGACAGGGGTGGCTGTAAACTTTGGCACCTGAATCACCTTTACCCACCCAACTGACTCCTTGCCCCACAGGGGAGGCATTCAGGCTGTGTCACCCTGTGTGACTCTGAGTCAGTTCTCCTGCTCCCAGCTAGCTCCGCCCCTATGTACTGGCCTGCAGCCCAGGCAGGCAGGAAGCCACCAGGCCTGCGGATGGGGCCGCCCCAGCCTCTCCCAGTCTTCTCTAAATCAGGACCTGGGGCAAAGACTGCCCAGTACAGGCCAGTGGAGGTTGCTAGGGGGAAGAGCAGCTCCAGATAGAGGTGCCAGGCTGGGGTCACCGGGCTGGAAGGGTGTTGACCTGGGATCGGAAGGAGAGCTGCTCAGGGCTGGAGCAGCTCCACGGGGTGGCCCTGGGGGTTGGGTGCCTTCTAGGTCATTGGAGGCCTTCGGGCTGCAGGTTCTGGTTGGTTCTGTGTGGACTTCTCTCCCTCCTTCTCTGTCCCTTTTCCTCCTTCTCCTGTTCTTCCTTGTCGCTCTCCCTCTTCTGCCGATTGTCCTGGGTCTTCCCCTCTCTAAGCCTTCCCTGCCCTTCCCTCCCACTGTCCCTACAGCTCCTGGCCCTTCCGTGTCCTCGGGACCCACTCACTATCCCCTCTGTCCCCAGGATGCCGCAGCTGGGCCTGTCCTGGCTGGGCCTGGGGCCGGTGACCGCCTCCCCATGGCAGCTCCTGCTGCTGGCCGGGGCCTCCTGGCTCCTGGCCCGCGTCGTGGCCTGGGCCTACACCATCTATGACATCCGCCGCCGTCTCCAATGTTTCCCAGAGCCTCCAAGACGGAGCTGGTTCTGGGGCCACCTGGGCCTGGTGAGTGTGGCAGGAGGAGTGGGTGGTCAGGGTGGAGGGACTCTCTGAGGGGCTGGGAATGGGATCAGGGAGTGGGGCCAGGGGCGGGCTGGGGACGAGGACAGCAGAGAGGCAAGGCGGCCGGTCCTCACACTCCAGCGTGCTTTGGGTCCATTTCCTCCCGTCTCCCCCTCCGTGTGTCTCTGAGGGGCTCCCAGGTGGGCTGCACAGTGAGGGGTCCCTGGTTCTCACATCCTGCACTGCTGGACTCCAGGCTTCCTAGGGTACTGCCCAGGGTCCACTCCCTGGGCCATTTCCTGGGTGTGCATTTCTCTGGACTGTTTTCCTGCAGGAAGTAGTTGTGACTCTTCACACACAGAGACACAGAGATGACAGAGACACATGCAGAGACATATACACAGAGACACAAAGACAGAGACACACAGAGATACACACAGACACCTCGACAGAGACCCAGAGATACACACAGAGACACAAAGACAGACCCAAAGATAGATGGAGACATACACACAGACACACAGAGACAGACACACAGAGACAGACACACAGAGACAGACACACAGATATAGACATACATATAGAAACACAGACACAGAGACCATGCACACAAAGACACAGATGCAGACCCCTAGAGACACAGGCAGAGACACACAGAGAGACATAGACACACACACGCACATGTAGAGACACATGTACAAATACAGAGACACACAGACCAGACACACACACAGACATAGAGACACAGACACACACAGATAGATAAAGACACACAGTTGGACAGAGACACACAGACAGACAGATCCACAGAGACACACACACACATAGAAACATACAGTCACACACACACACACACACACACAGCATGGCTGGGTGGTGTGGACAGTCTCCCAGACCTCTCTGTTGGGGCCGCCTTCCTCTTCTCTCCCTCACCCCTCCAAGCTGGGCCTGAGAGATAGATAAATAGATAGATGATTAATAGATAGGTAATAGGTAAATAGCAGATAGATAACTGATAGATAATAGACAGTATATAGGTGATTGATACATACATAATAGATGGGTCGATAGATATTAATAGGTAGATACTAGATGATAGACAGATGATAGATAAATACATACAGAGGTAGGTAGATAGAAGATAGATGATAGATGGCAAGTAGAGAGATGATAGATACATAGATGATAGATAAATGATAGCTATAGATAGATAGAAGGTAGATAGATAGATGATAGATACATAGACAAGTGATAGATATATTGGGTCACAGGAAAAGCCATGACTTGTTTTTCTACGCAAAAATACCTCATGACTTTTCAGATGAACTATTAGATAGAGCGATAGGTAAGTAGAAGATAGACAGATGATAGAGAGATGATAGGTAGAGAGATGATGGATACATAGATATAAAAAGATAGAAGATAGATGGATGACTGATACATAGACGATAGGTATAGATAGGTAGATAGATAGTCGTGGTCAGGGTGGAGGGACTCTCTGAGGGGCTGGGAATGGGATCAGGGAGTGGGGCCAGGGGCGGGCTGGGGACTAGGACAGCAGAGAGGCAAGGCGGCCGGTCCTCACACTCCAGCCTGCTTTGGGTCCATTTCCTCCCGTCTCCCCCTCTTTGTGTCTCTGAGGGGCTCCCGGGTGGGCTGCACAGTGAGGGGTCCCTGGGTTCCACATCCTGCACCGCTGGACTCCAGGCCTCCTAGGGTACTCTCCAGGGTCCGCTCCCTGGGCCATTTCCTGGGTGTGCATCTCTCTGGACTGCAGTATTCTTGCAGGAAATAGCTGTGACTCTTCACACACAGAGACAAAGAGATGAGAGAGACACAGAGGCACATACACGGAGACACAAAGACAGACAGAGACACACACAGAGATACACACAGACACCTCGACACAGAGACACACACACAGGGAGAGATACAAAGACACCCAGAAAGACACATAGAGATGCAGACACAGAGACAGAGACACACAGAGACAGAGACAAACAAACAAACACACATACACAGAAACATAGACACGCAGACACACACAGAGACAAAGACACACAGACACAAACACACACACACACAGACACAGACACAGACACACAGACACACACAGAGACACATAGAGACAGAGACAGACACAAACACACAGAGAGATACACAGAGACAGAGACAAACAGACACAAACACCCACACAGGTAGGACACCAACACAAAGACACACACAGAGACACACACAGAGACATATGTATACATACAGAGACACAGACACAGATGCAAAGAAACACACAGACCAAAACACACAGATAGAGATACACACACAGAGACAGACATACAGAGAGAGACACACACAGACAGAGACACACACAGAGACAGACGCAGTCACACAGAGACAGAGACACACATCCATGCACACACACATGCCATGGCTGGGGTGGCGGAGAGGGGTGAGCAGTCTCCCAGACCTCCCTGTTGGGGTGGCCTTCCTCTTCTCTCTCCACCACCCCCCAAACTAAGATGTACCAATGGGCTCTGTTACTCAACCTCCGTAAAAGTGGCCACTCACTTCCCCTTTCAGAAGCCATCCTAACCTCCAGACCTTTGAGGGATGCGACCTCAGTCTCCCCGTTTGTGAATGGCACGACTGGAGGGTGTGGGGTGTGTGCGAGTGTGACGAGAGAGTGTGCAGGACCCACTGTGCACGGAGCCTGGAGGGCAGCAGGTGCCTGCAGGGGGAGCACCACCCTGATGGACAGAGAGCGGTCCCCTCTGTTCCCCTGGAGTCCACCGAGGCTGGAAAGTCCCTGGTCTGCCCGCCCTTCTCCATGGAAGGGACACGAGAGGCTGTGGGGACCCACCATAGGACAAGGCCCCACCATAGGACAAGTCGTGAGACCACCCCAGTGCCCACCACCACCCCCTATGACGAACTCCGCTGTGGCTGCCCCAGGCTGGACCCTCTCCCAGGTGGGCCTTGGGGTGGGTAGAGGGATCTTCTGTCTCTCCCGTGGGGAGATAGATAGATATAGATAGATGATAGATGATATAGTTATAGATAGATAGATAGATATAGATAGATGATAGATGATATAGTTATAGATAGATAGATAGATATAGATAGATGATAGATGATATAGTTATAGATAGATAGATAGATATAGATAGATGATAGATGATATAGTTATAGATAGGTAGATATAGATAGATGATAGATAGATGATATAGTTATAGATAGGTAGATATAGATAGATGATAGATAGATGATATAGTTATAGATAGGTAGATAGATACAGATAGATGATAGATAGATGATATAGTTATAGATAGGTAGATATAGATAGATGATAGATAGATGATATAGTTATAGATAGGTAGATAGATATAGATGATAGATAGATGATATAGATATAGATAGATAGATAGATATAGATAGATGATAGATGATATAGATATAGATAGATAGATAGATATAGATAGATGATAGATGATATAGTTATAGATAGGTAGATAGATATAGATGATAGATAGATGATATAGTTATAGATAGATAGATATAGATAGATGATAGATAGATGATATATAGATAGGTAGATAGATATAGATGATAGAAAGATGATATAGTTATAGATAGGTAGATAGATATAGATGATAGTTGGACAGTAGATAGATAAATGACTGATACATAGACAGATGATAGCTAGAAATAGAAGATAGATAGAGAGATGATGGGTGGGCCAAGAGAGATACGAGGGAATTTATCACGGCAACTGGCCTCTGTGACCGTGGAGGCCAAGAAGTCCCACATGACACCGCCTGCCAGTTGAACAAGCAAGGAGGCCAGCGGTGTCATCCAATCTGAAATCAAAGACCTGAGACAATGGGAATTGCTCCTGTGAGGCCCAGAGTCGGAAGGCCAGAGAAGTTGGAGTTCAAGGGCATAGGGACAGGTGGTGAGGCCACACTGTTGATGATGGATATGCATAAATGGATGAAAAGATGGAGGGGAGCTAGAGATGATAGAGGTAGATAAAAGGAGAATGATGGAAGACCCCAGCTCCAGAAGAGAGAGCAAATGGATGCTTCTGGACCCTCAATGGATTACAGGGTGCCCACCCACTCCAGAGAGGGAGGGAAACTTCCTTCCTCCGTCCACTGACTCAAATCCTAATCTCTTCTGGAAACACCCTCAGAGACACACCCAGAGATCATGTTTTACCAGCTAGCTGGGCATCCCTTAGCCCTGTCACGGTGACGCTTGAATTACCATCACGGTGACTCTTGTTTGCAGATCACCCCTACGGAGCAGGGCATGAGGACAGTGACTCAGCTGGTGGCCACCTACCCCCAGGGCTTTCAGACCTGGTTGGGCCCTATCACGCCCATCATCAGTTTGTGTCCCCCTGACGTCATCCGGTCTGTCACCAGCGCCTCAGGTATCCATGCAAAGCTTGTGGTGGTGGGTGCCGTGGCAATCCGAATTTCTAGCCTCCCATCCCCAAGCTGCCATAGGACCCTGGCCCTTCTTCCTCTCTCTGTTTCTCCATCTCCTCCCTCCACCGTCCTGGTATTCTGAGCACCACTGGGTTCTCAAGAGATCTCAATTCAAGCCTTCAGCCCTGTCCTGGAGAAACCAGAAACCCCTAGTCTTGAGGCGATGGATCTAAACAGAGATCCCAATTTCACGTGGTCAAGATTGGCTAGAGAAAGAAGAGCTGCCACAGCTGGGGAAGAAAGGTCTCTGCAAGGGTGGGCTTGGGCAGGCCGGAAGGCTTCCTGGAGGAGTTACTAGAACTATAATAGATCTGGAACGATCGATAGGAAAGTTTTGAAGTAGGGTGGAGGGTAGCACATCCAAAGCTCCCTGCCAGGCCTGGTGTCAGCCTTGACAGTATCCAGGCCCGCAGCTAGTAAGAGACCAGATTGCTGTTTCTATGATGTGCACCACGATTTCTTATATTTCATCCTGTCCTCCTGTTCTAGGCCTCAGGAGTCTCCAAAGGAGTCAGTACTCCAGCCTGGCTAAGACCGTTCCTTTCTCTCTATCCTTCCATCCTTGGATAGGCAGGCTAAGCAGAGGAAGGAGCAGTGTCTGACAGAGACCATGGCTCTGACATCAAAATGCTCAGTGACTCTGGGCAGGTTCTCAGCTCTCCCTGGCTGCTGAGTTTTGTTTTATTTTATTTTATTTTATTTTATTTTATTTTATTTTATTTTATTTTTTTAGTTGTGAATGTTGGCACTGAAACTTTATATGGTCTAAGCAAAGAAAGGGAATCTACTGATTATAAAGTCCAGAGAAGTGGCCTTCAGGCATAGCTGGATCCAGGTATCATGCCATGTTATGGGACACCTATCTCCCTCTCAATTTTATCTTTTTCTGTGTCACCTTCCTTTCAAGGAAGCCCTTTCTTCATGGTATAAATGTTGAGTCCAAGAAGCTCAACATGGCCCATAGCCATGGCCCGGGATTCACTTTAATTGTCTGGGTATGGGTTGCAGGATCCATTCCTCAACCAATCACTGTAATTCTTTTTCTTTTTTTTTTTTTGAGAGGTTTTTTCTATAGGGTGTGTGCGCTCACCGGAAAAACAGGGAGAGACAGAGATATAGAAAGCAAGAAATCACTCCCTGGGGGAATGGCCACGCCACAATCCCTTCTCCTCCATTCTCCTCTCAGGATCTTGGGCACGTGCACACACATGTGTCAGGCGTGAGTTTAAGCCACCGGGTCCAGGACTCAAACCACAGCTGACTACATGGGAGTCCAGCAACATAGCCATTACGCCATCTGCTGGTCCCCATCACTGTAATTCTGATTGTTCAGTCTTGGCAGGCCTGGGATCCAAGAACTGTTCTTTTCAGGGATACAAAGCAGTTTGATGGTTGAGAACATAGGCCCTGAATTTGAGAGACCTGGGTTTGTTACATTTGAATAAGAGAACAAGAGGACATCGAGTTTTAGCCAAATAAAAGGAGTCTATTAGCCAGCAGCTGAGAGAGAGCGTGAGTCACTCCAAAACCTTGCAGCCCCAGAACAGCGGGTAGGAAGACTTACAGAGGCAAAAACCACAAACCTAGAAAAACGACAAGGCTTTGCGTTATGCAATCGTGGGTTACAAAGGCCAAAAAAGCAAGTGATCAGGAAGGACAGTTATCATTGGCAACATCTGCTGTGATAAATATTCAGCCAGGAGGACAGATATGGACGCCCGTGTACATTGGCTGGTGATACGCCTTCAGTGAGGAATTTTAAAAATATATATTTATTACATTTTGTTATTATTATTATTTTATGTTGATGAATGCAGGAGAGAGAGAGAGAGAAAGTGAGAGAACAAGCTGCCAGGTCTGACACTTGAACCGTGGTCAGCCATGTGGGAGTCCAGCACCTTAACCACCACGCCTCCTGCCAGCCCTCGGTGAGGACTTTTTAGGAGGCACATGTGGGGCAGGTCACAGGGAAAGGAAAATGGTGGTGGAGTCATATTCAAAATGGAGATACTCAGGACCAGCAGGTGGCGTGGTGGTTAGGGCGCTGGACACTCCCACATGGCTGACCAGGGTTCGAGTCCTGAATCTGGTGGCTTGCTTTCTCACTTCCTCTCTCTCTCTCACTCTGACCCTCTGTCTCTCTCTGGTCAAATAAAAAAATAAATGAATTAATAAATAAAATAAATAATAATTATTTTTTTTTTAAATGGAGATACTCATGCTTCATTCTCTACCTCTCTCTCTCTTCTTTTCTTAAGAATGATTTTATGTAACTTTATTTATTTTTACATTTAAAAAAATGGATTCTTTATTTCATTTTATTTATTCATTCATTGTATTTTAATTTGACTGCAGAGAGACAGGGAAAATGAGAAAGCAAAGCTACCAGGTCTGGGACTCGAACCATGATCGGCCATGTGGGAGTGTCCAGCACCTCAACCACCACACCACCTCTTTAGTTATTTATTTATTTATTTTAATTGGACCAGAGAAGGGCAGAATGAGACCGTGGCCGTCATGTGGGAGTCCAGGGCCCTTAATTACCACGCTACTTGTTGGTCCCACTCCACTTCTTTTATGGGGATCAAATCATTGATTCCTCAGTCTCAGCTGTGGCAGAGGGTGACCAGCACAGTTCAGTTCAGTTTGGGCTGACGTGGACTGATTTCCTGATCTGTAACTGCTGGGCATCATTGCTCAGGCATGGGAGTGTCTGATTGAACTGGCTTGGCCCAATGTTTGTGGCATACAGCCGCTGGGCCCACTTGTTCATATGGAGATCATGACGTAGCACTTCCTGAGGTAAAGCAAGCAGCTTACAGAAGCAGAACAACCTTTATTTATTTATTTATTTATGGAGAGGTTTTTGCTCTAGGGCGCGTGCGCTCACCAGAAAGACAGAGACAGAGAGACAGAAAGCGAGAAATCACCCCCCAGGGGGGGATGGCCACACCGTAATCCCTTCTCCTCCATTCTCCTCTTGGGATCTTGGGCACGCACGCACACACGCCCGGTGTGAGTTTAAGCCACCGGGTCTGGGACTTGAACCACGGTCGACTACACGGGAGTCCAGCAACGCAGCCATTACATCAACTGCTGGTCTCTCAGAAGAGAATTTGGTTAGGTACTTAGGGAATTAAAATGTCCCCCAAAACAGAAACCAGGGCCAAAAGTTCAAATTGGAAGCATGGTTAATAGAGAAACTAACAGGGTCAAAAGCCAAGGAGCCTATTGCCAGAGGCCGATCCAATCTTACCGTAAGTTAGCACTAGCCTGCTTTTTTATTGGTTTTTGGTTTTGGTTTTGGTTTTTTTCTGTTTGTTTGGTTTTTGTTTTGTTTTGTTTTGTTTTTGACTACCTGGCTGTGGAGTCTCTTTCCAGATGCTCAGGAGGCACTGATAAGAAAACATGTCACGGGACCAGCAGTTGGCGTAATGGCTATGTCGCTGGACTCCCATGTAGTCGACCGCAGTTCAAGTCCCAGACCCGGTGGCTTAAACTCACGCCGGGCGCGTGTGCGTGCGTGCCCAAGATCCCGAGAAGAGAATGGAGGAGAAGGGATTGCGGTGTGGCCATCCCCCCTGGGGGGTGATTTCTCGCTTTCTGACTCTCTGTCTCTCTCTGTCTGTCTGGCGAGTGCACGTGCTCTATAGCAAAACAAACAAAAAACAAAAACTCTCCTTAAAAAGAAAGAAAACATGTCACATAGCTGAGGGATTCTCCTGAGCTCAAGGCACTGAACTGCGGTGAAATGTCCCACACATAACAGGCAAACGCTAGTAGGAGCTTTTGGTACCGTTTTCAATTAGTCAGAGCTGTGGCAGCCAGAACTATAGCAAAAAGCAAAGTAATTACAACAAGCAGGGCCATGGTTAAGGGGTGGTTCTAAACACTCTGGGACCATTCAGGACAGTCTGCGCGTGTTTTTCCGGAGAGATGCATCCTCAGTCTCCTGCCGTGCGTAGATTGGTCAGCTTCTGGAGTGACAAAAAAACAGGGCTGTGGTCCTCTCTGGTCTCTGGGTTTGTAGTTTGCTTTTTCCAGATGGGCAGCTTGTAGGGTGTTTTTAGATCAGAAGTCTATATGGAGACTCAAGAAACTGGCTTCACTCTAATAAAGGTTGGGGCTCAGGAATTGCTTTCTGGGCTGAGTTGCCACTTTTCTATTATTTACCTGCGAGGTAAGGTGAAGGCTGGCCGACCCTGAAAGGTCAGATACAAAAGAAGATGTCCTGTTAACGTTTGAGGTTGTGACTCACCTATCACAGACACTATGGCAGGGACAGGATGTTGGAAGAGTCCTGTTATCAAATGGCCCAAAATGACCTGTCAATGGTTGTGGACGTGACTCACCCCAGAGCCATTGGAAGGGATCTTGCAAATAGGAAACAGGCAGACTTCTGTCCTCAGTTCCCCTTACTGGTCAAATATTAGTTCTCTGAATGGCGATGTTCCACGGAGCTAGGAAAGCTTATTTCTAGAAGTCAAGTCCCGGGACCAGCAGTAGTGTAATGGCTATGTCCCTGGACTCCCATGTAGTCGACCGCAGTTTGAGTCCCGGACCCGGTGGCTTAAACTCATGCCGGGCGCATGTGCGTGCGTGCCCAAGATCCCGAGAGGAGAATGGAGGAGAAGGGATTGTGGCGTGACCATCCTCCCTGGGGGGTGATTTCTCGCTTTCTGTCTCTCTGTCTCTCTCTGTCTGTCTGGCGAGCACATGTGCGCCTGAAAAAAAAAAAAAAAAAAAAAAAAAACTCTCCAAAAAAATAATAAATAAATAAATAAATAAATAAATAAATAAATAGAAGTCAAGTCCCCTGGAGCTAGCAAGGCTCATTCCTGGGAGTAGTCAATTCATCATCCATTGTTGTGGACAGTAGAGTCTTTTTTTGTCTTTGGGCAAGGGAGGGGGTCAGGCCTTAAAGTTTGGAGTAGATGTTTATTATGTGCTGTCTTTGAATTTTTATTTTCCTCTTCTTCCTGTATCTGGCATAGGATCTACAGGTAATATACAGTAAACATGCACAAACAAGTATTATATTGTAAGCAGGGCATTAAGCAGCCTAACCAACCAAAGAAACCTTTATTTTGGGAACTGTAAGATTGATACTAGTTTAGAGTCCAGCAAATTTGGCTTCTCATCACCACATTTATTTATTGTTCTTTCAGGAGAGGGCATTTTATTTAACTTTAGTTTTTTTTTTTTTTTGGGGGGGTTTTTTTTTTTTTTTTTTTTGCTATAGGGTGTGTGCGCTCGCCAGACAGACAGAGAGAGACAGAGAGAGACAGAGAGACAGAAAGCGAGAAATCACCCCCCAGGGGGGATGACCATGCCGCAATCCCTTCTCCATTCTCCTCTCGGGATCTTGGCCACGCACCCATACGCGCCCAGTGTGAGATTAAATGACCAGGTCTGGGACTCAAACTGCAGTCGACTACGGGGGAGTCCAGTGACATAGCCATTACCCTAACTGCTGGTCCCATGAGTTTTTTTATTTATACATTTTACTAGGCATAGCGAACTGTTTTGCAAGCCTTCAAGGATGCAGTTGAAGTTCTACAGTTGGAGATAAGCACCTTCAGTGTATACGTTTTCCGATCTTGTTACTATCATGTGTGATCCTGTCATGCATCATAGGTCAAGCCAGATTACTTATCTGTAAATGTACTGTTCCATGCAACTTCGAGGAAGGCTGTCTGAGTATGCATCAAAGAGGACAATGTGTAAGTCATAGAACAGGCATTGCTTGACCTAGCCAGGGTCAGGATGTTTCCTATACCCCATGAAGGTTTTCACGGAGCCCCTCATATCCAAGGCATGTGTCAGCCTGTTCACAGTGAGTAATTAATGAGGCATGCAGATAAATGCTTCATGTAGCTATGCTGAATATCCTCACAAGCATTCAGTGAGGAATTTTTAGGAGGCACATATGGGGCAGGTCAGGGGAAATGAAAATAGTAACAGAGTCATATTCAAAAAGGAGATGGCTCATGCTTCAGGTCTCAGGCATTCCATGTACTGTCTGGGAGATCATGGACAAGTGAGTTCATCATTCAGAGTCTTGGTCTTTTTTTATTTTTCAGAGAGTGATTTTAGCTAGAAGGCATGTGCACTCACTGGAGAGACAGAGACAGAAAACAAGAAATTCTTCCCCAGGGGGGATGGTCACACCACAATTCCTTCTCTTCCACTCCCCTCTCAGGATTTTGGACATGCATACACATACACCTGGCATGAGTTTCAAGCCACTAGGTCTGGGACTCAAACTGCAGTTGGCCATGTAAGAGTCCAGCAATGCAACCATTATGCCACCTACTGGTTCCAAACTTTAGTCTTCTTATCTGGATGATGGCATGGAAGAGATCCCAGGTGAACGTGGTGTTTGGGGTCTAAATGGGGAATGCTTTTTCCTGACCCTGTAAGTAGGGTTGTATGCTGAGGATATGCAGAGGAAGCCCGGGAGGAGGTTCAGTACAGAGCAGATGACAAGCTGCTGGAAGGACCTCCCAGGTTGGGCTCAGGGCTGGGTCAGTGCCCTGTATGCCTTTCTCTCTGGCATGGGTCGGTGCCCTGTATGCCTTTCTCGCTGGCAGCCTGGAAGAACATGGTTGGACCTCTTTGTTCTTCAGATTCAGAGCTTGGAGGAAGGTCTCCTATACATGTCGGGCCTGCAGAGCACCTTCGGGGATGTGTACTGCTGGTGGGTGGGGCCCTGGCATGTGGTCGTCCGCATCTTCCACCCCACCTACATCAAGCCTGTGCTCTTTGCTCCAGGTAGACCCTACACCAGCCACAGCTTGCCTGCTGTGAGGTCTCTGTGCTACCTGCAGCTGGCCAGGTGGCTCGAGGGCACACAGGAGGGCTGTGGTGGAGATGCCGCTGGCTCTGTGTCACCTGGGCGTCCACCTGTCTGACCTCTGGCTAAGTCTGTGCTTGTCTGGGGCACGTCTGTGTGCTGTCTACTGTGTGGCCACATTTGCCATGTGTACTTTACAGCTGGGTCCTGCTTATACCTGGTTGAGTTCATACCTGGTTACACCTGATTCATGTTATACCTGGTTACACCTGGATTATATTATACATGGTTGCACTTGGTTTATGTTGTACCTGGTTAGACCTGATTTATGTTTTACCTGGCTTATGTTATACCTCTGGCTGTCCATGCTATATATCCCCAGTTTATGAGAGGAGACGTCGGAGAGGGCTGGGACAGACAGGGTTGCCTTAGATCACTGTAACAGCGTTTTGCAGAGAGCTGAGCTGTACTCAGGTGTTGCAGAGCATGTTGGACCATGCGGGAAGAATGTCAGGAGGGGTTGGGGCATGTGGTGCCGTGCAAGGGTGTGCTTTGCTGTGCTGTACAGCCGTGGTCTGGTTCAGTTCCCCTCATGTCCTTGCTTCTTCTTGTTCCTGTGTCCCTGGCTTCTTTTCTGCTATGCTGGGCTTCAGGGGAAATGCAGACCCATGGCTGGGAGACCCCACCCCCCATCCAAAGTCCCTCCCTGACCCCTCTCCATGGCTTCTGATGGTCCTTGTTTCTGTCAGTCATCACTGCACCCAAAGACGTGATCTTCTACAACTTCCTGAAGCCCTGGCTGGGTGAGTAACTGCAGCTGAAGGGGTTGGGGACAATCTTGGGGACCCGGGGTAGGTGTTGCCCATGTCCACCACCCACGGCTGCCCTACTAGGGGATGGGCTCCTGGTGAGTGCCGGTGACAAGTGGAGCCGCCACCGTCACATGCTGACGCCCGCCTTCCACTTCAACATCCTGAAGCCCTACGTGGAGATTTTCAACAAGTGCTCAAACATCATGCACGTGAGTCTTTTGAATCTGGCTGAAGTCTGGGGAAAGGAGTGGCCTCAGACATCTACAGTCTAGAATTTCTTCCCTACTGGATGGCTTTGGGGCCATTATTCTTCCTCTCCAAAGCTTGGTTTCATCATCAGTAAAATGGGTATAATAAGGGTCAGCCAGTGGCATGGGAGTTAAGCTATTGGATCTCAATAGCCTGTGCAGTCAGCATCCTGAACCTGGCAATTTGAAAAACATACTGGGAGGACCAGCAGAAGGCATAATGGTGACATTGCAGGGCTACTGTTCGAGTCCTAGACCCAGTGGCTTGAAATTCACACTGGGTGCATGTGCGCCCAAGATCCCTAGAAGAGAATGGAGAAGAAGGGATAGTGGCATGGCCATCTCCCTGGGGTGGGTAATTTCTCTTTTTCTGTCTCTCTGTCTCTCTCGGTCTTTCTGGCAAGCACACATGCTCTATAGTAAAAACCTTTTAAACAAACAAACAAACAAACAAACAATCAAACAAAAAAAGCTTAAGTGTTATGAAAGATTGGACAGAGAGACTTAGGGGAGGGCAGTATATTGACCAGGGTCACACAGGGCTCAGAAGACAGAGCTGGAACTTGAACCTGGGTCTCCTGACTCCCAGTCATGGAGTCTTTCCCATAATATTGACAGTAGCAGCTGTTTCTTTTATATA